GGTGGATGAGGATGATCCCAGCAGGCGAGGATGATAGCAAAATGGAAATGATATATGTACATATGTACAAGGGGAAGGGGAAGTAAGAATATCCATCGGGAGGTGTCTTTTTTATAGGAATATATTTCAGTTATTTGGGATCTACAGAGAATATTTAAAATTAAATACAGCGAGGGAGCAATAGCAATAGTTTATCTCTTACTTGATTTATTTTTTACTTTAATCTATTATATGAGACTAATCTGTAATCTGTCTAAAATCAGTCATTAAAAATCGTAGCTTATGGTATACTTTAATTCAAATTCGTACACAAAATATTTACATACCAATGACTAACATTTTGTATCCATCGATGTACATATTTGGATTGATATTTCTTATCGTTTACGCCACACGTAGCTACCATCTGCGTATTTATTAATTTCTCTCTTTAACTCAGAGTTAATTCATACATAAATTGTTTTTTGTTTATCCATTCTTAGTGCGCATTGAGTAAATACAACTGCCACTTTTTATCCATCATTAAGTCTATGACTAGATTCGATGCTGCTGCGTATCTACCCATCGAAATGTCTGTCTGTCTTTGAATACATCAAATTATAAATAAAGAATAATTTGTTTGAATCTATCTGATAAGTGTCTCTGAGGTTTTGCTCCATCTCCATTTTATTTTTATTGTATCTTCTTATACCGATAGCGTTTTAAATACCGATATGTATCATGTCTTACCACCTGTCCGTCTCACTAGCTAACAATCTATCCATGTACACACATATTTATAGATACATTTATAGGAGGAAACTTTATCCAAAACCTTGCTAGAAATTGGAAATCACTTTCCCCCCAGCTCCAACGTAAGCCTGAAATTGCTTTTGCCGCTTGCCATTTCCATTGCAAGTTTCCCGTGTCACTTTTATTTGCTCACTTTCATGTTGCGACAATTTAGCACATCACCCAAGGAGCCCGTTCCCTTCCACCTCACCCCACCCATGTCAGTCCCGTTCCCCCACATCAATTGCGCCAATTTGCCAATGAATGGACACTTCTAACTTTCATTTCCATGGCCTTGGGGCGAAACTTTTGTGACCGCAACCCTTTTTAGTCCAGAACGTGCGATGTCCTGTGTCCGTCACTTTGTATACCTTTGGGTGTTTGGCCAGTGCCGAACGCCAATCAAGCGCAAAACCATTTTTGACATCCTCGGACATGTGTGGAACGAACGGGTGGACGGATGGAAGGACAACCGCCGGGCTGACCAGCCAACCAGGACCACAACCAACCAGCAGCGGTGGCGGTGGCGGTTCGCCCCAGGACAATGACAATTCAATTACAGAAATGGAATGGAAATAGCGGCAGGCATAAAAATCAAATAAAACCTTCATAAAGTCCTTCCGTATGGCCAAATAAAATCAGTGGGCAATGTCAGTCCGATCAAGGGGGACGGGCAGGAAAATGGGGTATGGGCTATGGGAATTGTGGTGCCGGGTAGTCCCAGCACTTCCGGTTGGAGTTTTGCTTTTGATTAAGTCCTCAAACCCGGGGACAGAGGACCGTTCGAATGTCAGTTATTGGGGGCCATCTCTGGCCACCGTCGAACTTTTGCGGTCATTTGGCAATTGGCGCCATACGCACGTAGCCGTGACCGCCCATCGACTGCTCGTAAAGTGTTCCCACGCGTTTGGGAGTGGCCTGGGTGGCATCGGATCGGGGTCATCCAAACGGAAGTGGAAGTGAGACTCGAATCGAAATGAACACTACACCCGATGCTGGTTGCGGTTTCTGCGGTGACTCACCTGACACCTAAAGCAGGAGCGACCAGCTCTCGCTCCACCAAATGGTTGACACTCTTAAAGTTCTGCAACAAATTACAAAACACTTTTCAGTCGGGGGATGGCCTGGGAGGAGAGAGAGAGAGCAAGAGCTATTGAAAATTCATAGCCAAAAATTTATTCATGGCCTGCCCCACAGACTCTCGGGGCATTAATATTTAAGCAGCGTCGTTCTCGTCCGGCACAGTCCTGTGCCTCCTTGAGCTCTTCAGGCAGGCTACGGGGTCACCTTTTTTGTTTCTGTCTCTTTTTTTTTTTGGCGGCCCTGACGCAAAGTTTCTGCCCCTGCCACTGTGGCTGGTGGCTGTGGCTGCGACTGTCAGTAACAAAGTCTCGAGGACATGAGGGCAGCTCTTTTTATGGCCCAAAGAACTGGCGATGCCTATGCCGTCTAATGCACAGTGGATTGGAGTGGTGAATAACCGAATTTGAATACAAATCACTAAAAATAACGGATCTATAAGGTTTAGGCAAAGACTTTAATAATGATGTCTTGGGGTGAGTTACATGTCACTTCATTTTTAAAGCAGCATCTTAGGGAAATGCTCTTCCATTTGATATTTTGTGTAAAAGTGTCGTGTGTACCACTGTGCACACAATTTTCTTGGCACTTTCTTCCATCCAGCAGCATCATCATCCTTCCCTCAGCACTGTCCTGGTCGTTGGCTACCCAATTTGTAACCCTTTAAACCGTCTGACACGCGTATAATGTCACAGAATGTTCCAAACTACACATTAATTTTTGATCAAATGGCTTTCGACTGCTATTGCTGCTGGAGCCAGGGATCCCTGGAGCGGCTGGCCAAGGCATGAAATGCCATTGGAAATGCCTGACATCTCAATCGAAATGGCGGAAAGCGTTTCAGCCAAATAAAGTTATGCTATCAAGGACATGGAAGCCGCTAAGTTTTGGGCCCCTGCCATGTCCTGGACATGGGCTGGAAATTAATGAAATTTTTTACTTTTATTTGCCCGCCGGCGATTGGCTGAGGTTGGGCAAGTTGTGGAAGGGGTCTCTGTGGCCATTGGGCTAACAAAAATTCATTTATTTTCATTTATTGTTTCACATTTCCCCCAGGACAGCGAGAGACGTTGCAATTACCGCAGAAAAGAAATTCAAGCAGCAAAACAAAAAACAGAAAAAAAAACCAGTCCAAGGGACCAGAAAAAAAATCAACTTCTGTCGCCGAGAAAAGTTTGGAAAATATTGTTCTACCACCTGAAAAAGGGTATGTTAGTTTCGGAAAAGGTTTTGAAATGCAAATGATATGAAGGATATGAAGGATATCCATAACCATAACTGTCAGTAAACCCCCCAATTGTAAAGTCAATAACTAACCTTTTTCTTGTTTAAATCCTAAATCTTATTAACAATAAACAATGGATAACAATCCGTAAGGGTGCCTAATGCATCGGCTTTAAAAGTGACAATTTCCCTTCTTCGTTTTTTCCTGTTTTTACTTTCTTCGTATTTTTTTGTTGGAGCTGGAGCCGTAGCTTTTATTTACTTTTTACTGCCCAGGCGTGTTCATAATTCTGTTGACTTGTCCTGCGGAATGTAATTTTTACTGCAGGACAAGCGCAAATACATAATTGAATAACCCAGACCAGAGCTCTCTGCTCTGCCCGCGCAGGGGGACGAATCTGACGAATCTGGAAAAAGGGGTGAAAATGGGGAAAAAAGTTTTAATTCAATTCCTTGTGCGTTGTTAACTTGAGAACGTGGCTGCTGAAGTTGATTAATTTCGCATTTTTACGCTTGATTATACGAGACCCGGGCCAAGATGTACAACTTTTCTAGTTGCAAGATTTCCTTTCCGATGTTTTCCTCCTTTTTTCGCACTGAATTTTACACGTACACAGTGGCTGGGTGGGGCAGAGCAGAGGGTTGAGGGCGAGGTAGAGACACGCAACTGAGGAAGGAATCTTTTTCGTGGCTCTGGCGAAAAATATGGCGTCGAATCCTTTGGGAAATTTCGATATCACACTTTGCTCCACGACGACGTTCCCCACAAGCCCACAAGTTCATTACACATTCGACGGATACGAAATGAGCAAAAGTAATGGGAAATGCAGTCAGCGGTGGGAGAGCAGCAGCAGGGGGAGGGGCAGAAGAAGACTGTGGCCAGGTTGATTAACCAGGCTTAAAGACAAAGGGCAACCCCTCTGCCAGGGCCACATACGAGTGCGAGAATGTGCCATAAAAATTGCAATTATTACTTTTGATTTGTGGACTCGTGCGGAAATTACTCGCATCTGACAGATACATACATAGATAGATGGATGGATGCATAGATTCTGATGGGGAGGCACCCCAAGTAAGCTGCTAATTATGAGTGTTCATTTATTAACAACAACAAAACCACAAATCGATTCCAGACTCCAGATTCCAGTTATTAATATATTCTCAGACCTAGAACATTTCTTAAGCTGCTTGTATATTTTTGGATGCTCGGGAGAAAGTTCTCACACAAAGAAAGCAGCAGAGACAAAAGGCAAACGACACTTGGAAACATATTCGCAGAAAGCGCAGAAAGCGCAGAAAGCAGCCGAAAAGCGGCACACCACCATAAATCAAATGTATCTATGTATCTGCGCCTTCAGTGTCGACTGGCTGTAAGTCTGTTTGTGTGTAAATGCGGAGAGAATAGTTATGAGTATGTGAGGCTTAATTATACGCGACACTACGCGATTGGATTCGCTGCCAAATTAGCATATGACAAGGCCAAGCAAACAGCAAGCAAAACAGTTAAGAAAACAAAAAAAAGCCGCAGTCAGAGATGAAGATGTGGCAGAGGTGAAGCCCAGAGACGAAATTCCATGTAATTACCAGAGCGAGAAGCAAACAACAAGCAGCAATGATGTATTTATGTGGCGTAGCGTCTAACGACCATAACATACCCGTTAGTCGAACTTATTCGCAGCCCTAAATAGCAGAAAGATCATTTATATGGGAACATGCAGCGCGACAATGAGAGGAATAATACTAGAAATTAGATTTTTGAAAAACAAGAATCCCTCCGAAGGAATACTCTTCGCACGTTTACAGGGTAGAAGAAAACCCCCAATGAAGCGAATCATCAAGCAATTAAGAGTAGGGGGGACTCAGTTTTAGGCTCGTGACTCATGGGCCGCTTTTTAAACGGATCCAAAACGGATTTCTTGTTTAAGTTTAGGCACAATTAAGTTTATTGCGGCAATTAGCAATCCGAATACAATTACGATTAGGTTTACATTTATGATTACGTTTTGGGGTAATAATTTATAGGTACATCATTTATAATTTAACTAAGCAAAAAAGATCACAAAAGATCAGCGCCGGACGTAGCCCTCGAAGCGCTGGTGTCGGCTAATGGGCTCCGCCTTGCTTTTGATCAGATACTTGGAGAACTCGGCCGGCGAGCCGAAGGCCTTGATGGGGAACTTGCCGAAGCGGCCGTTGGTCTTGGACACCACATAGTAGATGGGATAGGGGCCGGGCGTCATCTGCACGGGCAGCAGGTGGCTGTGGCTCACCTGCAGCCCCATGTCCAGCATATTGTCCCCATTCAGATACCCCTCAGCGTCTGTTTGGGCTGGGATGAACTTTAGTTGCTTCTGTTGCTTCGTTTTCTGCTTGGGAAAGGCTTTTAGTTCTTTTTGTTTCAAGGCTTGGATGGGCTGCGACGAGTCTTCACCGTCAGTGGCCGGCCTGGGGCGACGTTTCCGCATTCGCATCTGCTTCGAGTCCACGTACTTCTTTTCGCTGCTGCTCGTAACTGGCCGCAGGGTCTGGATCTGGAACAGGGCCGAGTTCATGTTGACTCCAGTGTGATCCTTCTTCGAGGGCAGCTCCTGCGGATGCACGCGTATCACCTTTTGCGTCTGATTGTCTATGCTGATGACATCCTCCTTGATGTCCGCAGACTCCTCAATGGGCAGGCAAAGACCAAGGCCAAGGACGCCCAGTCCTAAGCAGATTAGCTGGAAAAAGGCAATGGAAATATTTAAGGGAATATAAAATATTGGAAGATTATTATTTGGAGTGGTCTAGAAGAGTTCTTGGAGCCGATGAATCCGATTATTAAGAACACCTTCCCACTTAAGCCAATGCCAAAGTTGAAATTTATAGCGCCAAAATTATTCAAAATAAATCTATGCACAGGGGAGATTGGTGGACTGTGTGGGTGGCTACTCATTGATCACAATTACCATTAGCTGTTGACGGCTGAACATCTTGTAAAATCACCTAAGGTGAGGTTGTAGTTGTAGTTTTTTTGCTTCTGGAGTTCTTCTCGACGAGATCGGCGCCCACTCCGCGACTTGCGACTGGTGTTAGATGCTGCCGTTGTACGACTGTCTGTAGATATGCTCCAGCGATCGCTGTAAGCTCCGGAGCTGCTGGCGAAGCTCTGTTCTTCCCCCCTTCTCTACCTTGTCCCTCATCACGATCCGTTTATAATAAAGTGTTTGGCTGTGTTTTTTGCTGTATTTTTTTTTGGCAGCGCCAGAACAAATAATGAGCCACAAATTCGTTAGTTTTGTTTCGTCTTTTGTCATATGTATTTGGCCGCTTCACGCCACTCCACTCCCATGGCCCCTATCCCGATCCTATCCCTGCCAGCCAGCCCGCACAGTGGTTCCAGTCACAATCTGGGGGTTAATTTGCGATCTCTTGGCTGTGATTGCCTCATTGATTAACTCGTTGGCTGGCCGAACACCTCGGCCAGACCCTCCTCCCTGATTGTTTTGTGCATTGTTTGATTTTATGATATTTTGTGTACAGCATTGGTTTTGTTTTTTATGGATACCCACGGGGAGCGTATTGTGGGTATGAGGAGATATTTGCCAGGGAAGAAACAAGTCAGTTAGGGTATTCTCCGTTCTACCACCTGGCCACAGGTGGGGCAACAGCTGTAGCATCATTAGGTTAGCATTACTAATTATTGTAATGGAATTATTTATGATCATTATCAGAGTGTCAGACGCTGCACATTGTTGTCCAGACGGCGTGTGCACCAGGAAATCCACTGAATTATAATCAATAGAAACAAAGCCGAAGTGCTTAATGCCCTGTGTCCTTTCTTCGTCTGGTTGTCCCTGGCATGGAAAGTAAATCCTCGTAATATCACGATCTGGAATATGTGCACATGAAAATCTACTTTATTTTCTCTGATTTTCTTCCCCATTTGCATGGCAAACATCCAATCCAAATCCCTATACCCTTTTCAAGCGTGTACAACGATTTTAATGAAGTACAAATTTGCCTGCCTTCGACAGTGGGTTGCCAGAGGGGTGGAGCAATTATAATTCAATTGTATTCAGATGCCAGATAAACTCGTACTCATACACTCAATGATGACTCAGTGGCTCGTGGTTCTGCGTTATTTTGTTCCTAGTTAAAGTTTCTGTTTTCTGGTTTTCTGGCCTTAGAACTCGACAAACAACTTGAGAATTCGCATTGTCAAAGACTTTAGAGATCATAAGCCATTAGGCGATGAGCAAGGTTGAGTTTTATGTGCTTTATAATGGGCTAATTGAAGTGCTGTGAGCACTTTATGAAACTTTAATTTTAGTTTAGCAAACATTCAATGTAATATTTATACACTTCCAACTCTACCAGTTGATTATGTCACCTGTGCGAAGCTCTGGCATCTCATTTGTATGCACAATCGGAATGAATTTAATGGGAATTGGAATTCATTGACCCAGTCTCCCGAACAAGCTCCGATTAAATAACTTCATCAATCAAACACGAGCTAGAATCGACGATGCTGATGCTGATGATGATGATGATGATGATACGCGGTCACCCATTTATATTGTGTGGGTTGAAATCTCTGTTCTAGTCATTGCATATTTCCCTCGTAAAAATTCACTTTGCCATCGATAGTAGGAATGACAAAAACCATTTATAGCTCTTTCACATCACACAAAAAAGAAAAGAGAATGAAAAGAAAAGCTTTCAGCTGAGGAAATGCTGAGGGTAAAATGCAGCCGCACTCCAGACGGTAATAAAATGCCAGAGCAGGGACACGGGACCAGGACCAGGCCACCAAGACAATGGTGGAGTGCCGCCTGTCTCCATTCGGTTCTCCCTTTCCCAGCCATCCTTCATTCAATGTCGCCGCGCCATCGATTGTTATTCAAAGCAGCCCATAATCTGTGCCAAGATGCACAGACAAAGTGAATGTGAATTCGCATTGAAGGGGTTGTGGGGGTGGACACGAGTCTTGGCTTTGCCTTTCGGCTCTTTAGTTAGCCAAGTGTTCAGGGAATTGAGTTGTAACTCAACAGGTTTTAGCTTTTAAGCTTCCCTAGTCCTCTGCGGGTGCGGGGCATTGCTTCTGTGGAGGCATTTGCTAATGGATTATTTAAAGTGAGACTTTAAACTTGTACAAAAATATACCTAGAGATGGAGTTCGCCCAGAGGCCATTCTAATTAGATTGCAACCAAAAAAAGGACCCTTGATGCGGGTTCTACGTCCGTTCGTTTGCTACTGGCCAGAGGTGACCGCCAGCCAGAGGCTAATGGACACAAAATCCAGGGACATTTGTTTTGTGTGGCTAAAGTTGTGTCCTTTTTTTGTGTGCGTTATTTGTTGCTGGTTTGGTTTATTTGCGGTCAGCACATAAATTACATATTAGCTATAGGGATCACATATAATTTACGAGTGGGTTAAGAGCATCATCCCCATAATTATATACACGGTAGTGTGTGTGTGGGAGGGGATGGAGACCGAAAGGGTAGATAAACATGTGACACCAGCCTCACAATGAGCCAAGAATTAAATACATTTTGAAAAATCTGCTGACTCAAATAAGAGTATATGTAGTTGCCAGGAGACCCGGAGCATGTGTCACATCTGCCACAAGGGTGAAACAGGACAACATGCCCAACTTTTATTATATGACAATTACCCACAATCAACCAGAATCAGGGGGAACATACATATGAGAGCCACAGGATGGCAATCGTAAAAAAGAATGGAGCCTGGCCAATAATCGTTGTGTTCTCTCGCAGTGCTTAAAAGTTTTCTCGGCAGATACTGGTTATGTTATGCCCCCCAGTCCCTGCAATTTCATTCACTGTCGCCTTATCTAAGTATTCCAGGAATAACTACATAAAGTCTTTGGCAAAGACCCAGCAAATGTTGATGGCCTAATAAAAGTTAAAGAAATCTGTAAAGCTTGCTTAAGAGGCAGCATAAGGCTTAGGTTGAGCTGCGTGGATACCACAGAAACGGCAGTTTTCAAAGGCTTAAATATGTAGATACATTTGTACATGTTTTCTTATTATATTTCAGACTTCGTTGGGCATTTTTGTGTTGCATTATGTTGAGGCTTTAAAGGCTTAAGGCATTAAAATAATTGGAAAAGAAAATAAAACTTTTAGGAATCAAATTCCGATAAAGATATTGCTTGCTTTCTTCATTCAACAACTAAAATGCCAACAGGAATTTGTTTCCATTTCAAACATTTATCTAGAAATTGTGCAAAAGTTCTAAAAAATATTCAATGGATATTTTATTTATTTTAAAACTTTTACCAGTAGATTAGGCAACCCAAATTTTCGTATATCTATTAACAGTGACACTTTTTCTCAGAACTCTCCATCACAGATATGGGGTTTTCCCTACGTAATCCTCCCAATAACCTCCCCGCCAGTACAAATCTGTGCATTTTTTTCAACGAGTCATTTAAAGCAGTGGCAGCTCGAACAAATATTTACTCTGGTTGTTCCGTTGGCGAGTATCAACATAAATTCGTTGCGAAAAATGCTTTTGTTAGCCATTAAAATATTTAACAGATTGCCGCTGATGGACTGGGGTGGTCTCAGGGCGTCTCCCTATCCCTATGCCGCTCCCTCCACCACCCTCGTGTGGGGGATGGGCATGTCATAGAGGGAATAAGAGTGTAAGCATGTGCGCCTGTGTTTGCACCTAAATCCCCGACACACACAAGACACACTCGGTGTGGCAAGAGGTGCCCGCCAATGCCACGATGACTCCGCCCTGAATCGTTTGGGGTTCCAGCTTGAGTGTTAGACGTTGTCCTCCACTGCGCAGATGCCGGATTTTCGCTTCGTCCAGTTGGTGCAAACCGTTTGGGGAGGGGATGGCTGGGGCGTTCTGGGGGCCAAGCCTGTTCCAATTCCAAACTGTTTCTGGTTTTGTGGGCAAGCAGAGGAGCAGCGTCCTGTCCGGTGGCAGGGGGCGTCTCCTGTGTGGATAGATACGGATAGTTGTTCCACGAGAAAATCCTTTCCTATAATTTCCATTATATACGCAGATTTAAAAGCAGTTCCGTGTGAACTTTTACCCTGCCAGAAGAGAAGAGCGAACACGTTCCACGTTCCGTAACTCTCACACGTGAAGCCAATTAACGCTAATGCCTAGCGAACTCCTCATTTCACACCTCTCCCCATACCCACACCCCTCTCATACATTCACTCGAAGGAGGGGCAGGCTCAGGCAGAGGCAGCCTCGACATGCAAATGGAGCCTGTCAATGGTGCTGCCAATGTGGTTGCATGTCCATCTACAGCTACCGCTACGCCCCAACTCCTCGCCCGCTCACAACTTTTTATGGTCAAGCGGTGTGCTGTGTGTGTGTGTGTGTGTGTGTGTGTTCCTGGATCCTGTTTTGCAAGGTGTTGATTATGGCCTTTGATATGCAAATGAACCGGTTTTACTGGTCGCTGCCCCTCCCACGCCCCCCATCCCTCGCTGGAAGCCCAAAACAAATGGCGCTAATGATGGGGCAAGATGACACCTTGTGGCAACATATCATGGCCAACTAAAGACACACTTTGCCGGGTAACTGAAGAGCGGCAAAAAGGGTTCTTAAGCACAGCGATGATTATGGTTGTGCGTGCCCCGTGTGTGCCCCTTATTCGGGCAGTTTCAACCCCAATTAGACTCATTAGGCAAACAATGTGCCCATGGACTGCCCCGCACTCCCCTCTCCATCGCTCTCTGACCACGGACCAAGGTGCGAAACGTGGGCGCTGACTTTGGAGTGATTTACGACACAAATTACGGGCTTAAATGGACAAACATGCCTAGTTCTAATCATGGGGGCAGCTCCAGGAGTAACAGTAGAATGGGATAGGCAGGAGATGAGTCCATTAATGGGACTGAAAACTAACGGCGCAGGTCCCCGAATGGGCATTAGGCATGTGCGACATAAATTAATTAACCTTTTCTCACATTCCCTTTCACGCCTTGTTGGCCGACACTACCACGAGTATTTATGCAAAACTATCACCGGGACACGCTCGCTCACGCCAGTCTCGGGGGTCGTAGAGCCCATCCACCCTTTGGCTCTCTTAAATAAATGCACAAATCTTGTTCACATTTGACGA